ATGATTTCAGGCAATTAAAGACATTTGGTCACCTCTGCATCTGAGATTGACCAGTTGAGCAAAGTATGTGCTTCTCTGAGGTCACGCAACTATGTCAAATGCATTTATTGCATAATTGCATAATTGGATGTTTTGTGTTGCAACTGCTATTTCAGACCAAATGTACACGCTGATGTTCTTATTACATTGAATGTTCTAGTGTAACTGTCTATAATCCAATGCATACATGGTTCCAGCACAATGTATATTTTCAGCACAGCAGTTGTACTTTATAACATAAAAAATCAATGTGTTCACAGTGTCCTTTCTACTTTGCTTATTCATGCACTATAATGTGGATCCCCTGCCATAATATAAATGATGTGATTCTGTGCACCAAGAGACTATGACAAGGTCACTGCAACTTAACTATGAGGTTTTATTGCAAATGTCCAAACCACTGCTCACTAGTTCATTAGCTTCTTAATACAATCAAACATGTATTTTCACATAATACAATTGTGTAAGTAAAATCCATATAAATGCCTGCATTTGTCCAAAGTTAAGACTCTAAATACAATTTAACTTTGTGAGGCATTTTTACTGTTGGCTGGTCGACTTTCACAACAGGGTGTGATGGGTAACTAAAAGGCAAAGTTTGGTAATCACTCACTTTTTTATGCTTGACTTGACAAAAATGCACTGGTCCGACCCCACTGTTTATATTAAAAGTTGAAAACAGACCTTGTAGCAAAGTAGCCATTATTTATCCAGAGTTGAAACTCTTCCCCACCAGGTAGGAAGCCATAAAACATCTCTTGTGACAAGACCACATTAAGTCTTAACACAATTGCAGTGATCCTCTAAGGGCTAATTGCCTCATGCAGGAATATGTATTTTATCAGAAACATTTCGTCTTAAAATCAGACCTTATTACTTTGAGGGAACAAATCGCTTGTTTTTACATGTTTTATTTGCTGGCCTGGAACAAAGTATAGAGAACAAGAAGTGACTCATCAGTTTTACTAATAGCACATTATTTAACAGAATTAACATGAAAGGATTATTTTTTTAATTTGCAGAAATCTGAACTCAATTAGCATCTCTGAGGTTGATATCAAACCCAAAATATTTTTTACAAGTTTGTTCATTTAAAACCACTGGGACTGCTTTCAGAAAATCACAACTGTCTCATCTGGACAAGCCCCAAGGGTATTATGTGTCCATGTGCGTGTGTTTGTATGTGTGTGTGTGTGAAGAGTGGGGGGAAGAGGAATGCTTAAAGGCCTTTCCAAATAGCTGATGAAGTGTTTGAGGTTATATACATGGGGAAAAACTATAAAGGGAAATGCTTGCAGAGGAATTCCTTAATGTTGGCTAGAAGGGTGCATTTATCGTTCAGTGAAATCCAGAAACATGCTTTGTGATGGATGATTCTACACAACATTATTATCATCCACAGATGGTCTAAAAGTCCAATAGACTGGGCCTATTTGTGACATCCTGCATAGTAACAACTTTCAGGCACAATTGTTCCATCTATCCTTTGGATAAGACGTTAAACTGGGTCCCATCCTGCCTGCTCAGGTGGATGTTAAAGATTTTATGGCACTACTTGAAAAGAGAAGGGAGATTCACCCGGTGTCCTGACCAACAATCTCCCAAAATAAAATTGGTCACTCACTCCACGGCTGTTTGGGCAATATTGCTGTGCACAAATTGGCTGCCTGTTCGCCCACAAATTGCACTTTACAATACTTATATATCATAGAACCATAGAATTATACAGCACAGAAGGAGGTCATTCGGCCCATCGTACCTGTGCCGGCTCTTTGAAAAGAGTTATCCAAATCAATCCCATTCCACCGTTCTCTCCCCATAGCCCTGCAAACTTGTCCTCCCCAAATAATTATCTGCTTCTCTCTTAAAAGTTGTTATCGAATCAATTTCCATCACCCTTTCAGACAATGCATTCCAGATCCAAACAGCTCGCTGTGTGAAAAAATTTCTCCTCGCCTCCCCTCTGTTTCTTTTAACAACTATTTTAAATCGGTGCCCTCGGGTTACTGACCCACATGGCAGTGGAAATAGTTTCTACTTGTTCATCCTATCAAATCCCCTCATAATTTTGAAAACTTCTATTAGAAGTCTCCTCTTAACCTTCTCTACTCCAAGGAAAATAATCCTAGCTTCTCTAGCCTCTCCTGACAACTGAAGTCCCTCATTCCTGGTACCACCTTGGTACATCTCCTTTGCACCCTCTCTAATGCCTTGACATCCTCCTAAAGTGTGGTGCCCAGAGCTGAACACAGTCTCTAGCTGAGGCCTAACCAGTGATTTATAAAGGTCCATTATAAAGCCTAGTATCCCGTATGCTTTTTAACAGCTTTATCTACCTGTCCTGCCACCTTCAAAGATTTGCTTATATGAAGCCCCAGGTCTCTCTGTTCCTTCACCCCCTTTAAGATTGTACCATCAGTTTATATTGCCTCTCATTCTTCCTCTCAAAATGCATCACATCGCATTTATCCACATTACACTTAATCTGCCAAGTGTCTGCCCATTTTACCAGTCTGTCTATGTCCATTTGCAGTCTGCCACTATCCTCCTCACTGTTTCTACTTTTCCTAGCTTAGTATCATCTGCAAACTCAGAAATTGTACTCCCTGCAAGTCCAGATCATTTATATAGATCAAAAGCAGCAGTGGTCCCAATACTGATCCCAGTATATCCTGATATCCTGTGAAACACTTTGGGACATCCTCCTGACATGAAAAGCTCTACACTAAATGTTAAGGATTATTTTTATTATTATCCAGCCTACCCATTCACACTCATATACCCATTCAACTTTGCAAAAGATTGCTTTGTTAAATAAATTGTGTTGCGCCCTTTCAACCCCCACCCGGCTTGTGTGGATAGCCAGTTGTGAAAAATGCTCCTGACGTGAAAGGTGCTGTATAAATGTAATTGCATTGTGTCTATAATCACTTAATAACTATAAATCCTTTTATGTAGGGAAACACTATTAAAATGTCTCACCAACTATATTATAAAGGAGCAAAAAAATTAGTCACTTCTGGGTGTTCATAGCGTGCTACAAGTGAGACAGCTCTATAATCAAAGGGCGCTGAAACAGAGTTCAGCTATAGTTCTTCTTCCACATGCCCATCACCTTGTTATTGAAAATGATTTCCCTCACTTTCTCTTCTTCTTCCTTGCTTTTATTTTCAAGCTTTGACCACTGTATCTTGATCTTCTCGAAAAAAGGTGGGGAGATGCAGGTTTTTTTTGCATAAAAAACATGTTGCCACGAACTAACCAAATGATGGAGTAGGCTCATGCTGCTATGTTCCTATTAAAAAGGTGAGAGTCAATCTGTGTTTCTTTTTTCCCCCAGTTAATCATTTCCCCCTGTGCCTCTCAAAATGTTGATTCTTACCTTATATGGTTCTTGGCCTTGTACCTCATCCAAACACCTATTCTAATAATAATAATCCTTGCATTTGATATAGCTCCTTATCAAGTCATTGAGACGTCTCAAAGCGTTTCACAGTATATATTGTAAAGTGATTTGACTGTACTTTGTGGGCCAAAAGTGGCAGCCAATTGCGCACAGCAGTGTCCCACAAGCAGTCATAGATTGAGTGACCAAATTATTCTTATTAGTTTTTTGGGGGGGATTATTACTCTCAGAAAGCGATCTGCCAATCGACTAACAACTGGGTTCCTACTTACTGCTAGGTAAACAGAAGTGCGTGGTGTAAGGAAACTTGCCTAAAGTCTCGCCCTGCCTGGAAACTGAACCCACGTCCTCTCGCTTGCAATGCAAGCGTTCTAACCACTACGCTACCGGACTCCCATTCTTTGTGCGTGAGCCTAATCAGTGAATTTGAGTACGTCTTGGGGGCATCTCAGCCAAGACCAATCCAGAAATGTACTACCTAATAAGATTCTTCCAGCTGGTGAAGGCATTGCAAAATCCTCCATTTAAATCCCATAACCACGAAATTAGGAACCAGAGTGAGGAATTCGAAATCCGCATACCTTGTGGCCTGGACATAATAGCACACTGGAAACTATGTCAGAACTTTTGCCAGCAATACTCCATCATTTGGCAATGTGCTCATCAACCATCTCACCAGGGCCGCACCCGCACTAACTACCACGTTGCCACATTAAAGTGCAGAAAGCCTTCCACAGAGGTAAGCCCACCACATACAAAATCAATAATGTTGTCTTTAGTTTTATAAGCTACCCCCACACTCCTACGCACAGCAGATATTTTTTATGGTCCACCGGTGTAGGCAGAGAGAGCCCTGCATTAAAGTACCTCGGATGGTGACCTTTAATGCTGCATTAAGGTCAGCGATGAGAATGAGCTAAATTTCCAGTTGTTCTCAGCGCCAAAGACATCTGGTCGAGAGGCAACAACACATTTACTGCGTTTAATCCAAGAACGCACTAAATATACATACAGTTGTATGTAGGTCAAAATGACTTAAAATGAAAACGAGAACACAGCTCAGAAGTTATTTGCCACAGAAACTTGGCTCGAACAAAATACCCAGTACAATTAAAGTGTTTTGGTCACAGATGGGGAGAAATTCCACCTGGGTCTGTATAATGAAGCATTTCACAGTGTACAGATTCCAGCAAATTCTTAAATGCAGCTTTCATTTTGAAAGTGGTTCTCTTAAGAACAACAGAAAATCAACTGACTTCAAAGTTGAGACTGAATTCAACAATTGTCAAACTCTGGACACTCTAAACAACAAAAACAATGTCAAATTACATTTGTAAAGTGCCTTTCACGTTGAGAGGACATCCCATGGCGCTGGGAAAAAATGCTACATACAAGAACTAAAATGCTACGTAAAAGAGCAATTCTAGACCTGGGTAGAATTTCTCCCCATGTTTTCTTTGACAAGCAAAATGGTCAAGTAAAATAACAACAAGCACATCTTTTACATCTGAGAATGGTACTTACGCCCTGCAAAGAGACAAGACCCATAACCCACCTGGAACAGTTACCGTCCCCGCTGTAGGATGCTCCATTTCTAAAATGAGATCATTGTGTATGACCTAGAAAAACAAAAATAAACCCACAATTATTCACCACTATGAAGGCAATATCAAAGCTTAAAACCAAACTGTCAAATTTGCTCTTATAATCTTTGTTCAACTATGTTTTTTTGTAATGCAGAGTTATTCTTCGTATTTATATAATAATCCTTGCATTTGATACAGCACCTTATCATGACTTTGAGATGTCTCAAAGGAATATATTGTAAGGTGAATTGACTGTATATTTTGTGGGCGAAGTTTGGCAGCCAATTGCGTACAGCAGTGAGTGTCCCACAAACAGTCGTGGATTCAGTGATTATTATTTTTTTTGAAGGAATTATTACCCCCAGAAAAGCAATTTGCCAATCGACTAACAACCGGGTTCCCACTTAACGACAGATAAATAGAGGCGTGTGGAGTAAGGAAACTTGCCTAAGGTTTTACCCTGCTTGGAAATCGAACCTGGGTCCTCTCGCTTGTGAGGCCAATGCTCTAACCAATATGTTACAGGACTCCAGATCATTCAGATATATTCTTTTTAAAAGTCAGAATAGATAGAGAATGGGTAAGATGGCAAAACTGGATGGAGGGAGTTCCAGAGGGTGGCTAGTGGCTGAGGGCTCAGCTGCAGATGGTGACGCAGGAAGGTTGGGAACATGCAGTAGATATCAACCTGTCAAGTAGTGAGCAGAAAAATTAGGTTGTAGGAGATCTTAGAGATAGGAATTTGTAGACCAGGGTGAGGATCTTGAAGTTGGTCCTTTGGGCAACAAGGAGCCAGTGGAGCCTGGCAAGAATAGGGTAATGGGCTTGTTAAGTTTTGTGCAGATCAGAATGTAAACAGTGGAGTTTTGGATGAGCTGGAACTTGTGGATGGTGGAACCGGGGAGGTCAGTAGGGAGGGCACTTGAAAACAGTACAATTAAAGAATTAATAAGAAGTGGCACATTAATTTTTAGTCTTTAAAATAACTTTATCCACAACCCCACTAACCTTAATTGTGTTATTGCAATTGTTTTTGCCTCTTCTCCCACATTCACATTCCACCCTCCTGCTGCAAACTCCTAAGCTGCCTGGCCCCTCTTCATCACCCTGCAAAATGTCTGCTCTCTCTCCAATAAAGCCCTCACCGTCCTCAACCTCATTGTCGACGAAAATGTTGACATCCTCGCCCTCACCAAAATCTGGATCACCCCAGGTGACACTTTTCCCCCTCACTGGTTACACCTTCCATCATACCCCACGATCCACACTCCAGCTGAAAAGACAGACGAGAGCTCGGTTTATGCACTCACCCAAAGGGCAGCACTGCCAATAATGCAGGGCTCCACAGCACTAGCTCAAATCCCATTGTATTACGAGGTGTGCACACACCCACTAGCAATTAGGGTGAAACCAAACATATAGCACTTAAGAGTTTTGTGCCTGGTTGCAGCTACAGGTGACTTGATATTGGTTAAACCCCTCAGAGTCTTAGATTCCTGCCCTTACTTTCTTTCTTACAGCGGTCTTGGCAGCCTGGCTCCAGCACAAATGATACTCGTATTCTACAATTCACTCTACACTATATTGGGTTATTCATGGTGAATCCCTTCAAACCATGGCCATTAATTTAATCTCATCAGTCTGAGCTGAATTTGAATGCAGATCCTTGAAGTGAAAGGGCAGTCAGCTGATCCACAGCTTTGGTCATCTAGTAATCCATAGGTTTAGTAGATTTATTGCTTCTAACTAAATTTCTAGACTGATAATAAGTTTGTATTTGTAATGTCATCTTGTCAAGGTTGAGTCCTATATAAAAAAATTGGTTAACTCGCAGAATCATTGTAGAATGATGCTCTGGCTGTAAATATTACTTTTCCTAGTTCCTATACTTTGTAATATCACACTCAGAAATGACTTCCAGGGTATTCAAGGTTCGGTAAACACTTGTCATTTTGCTTTCAGGACATTTCATTGCCAAGGAAAGGCCTGAAAAATCAAACTTTTAGCTAAATGTCCTTTATTGGCCGTTGAGAACACAATTTTCCCCTCCCCTTTTAAAGCACATTTGGTGACAAATCCTACTATTTTAGTTGCAAATCTGAAGGCACCATTTATGCAGCAACTTACAGTTTTAATTCAAGTCTTTATTCTTGAATTAAATCTTACTGTCAAATTGCTGATCAGGCCACTGTTCCAAATGCTGAGATTTTAAAAAGTCTTCGGGGATTATTGATCTGCAGATACAATATTTGCTCGGAATCCCCATTCTCAGCATACACCACACCTATCTTGTTATCATTTTCCTCTCTCCATAGATGCTGCCTGACTTGCTGCGTGTTCCCAGCATCTTCTGTTTTATTTCATGTTATCATGTTGCACATCAAACAATTTCAGTTACCCACACTGTCTGCAATATGCTTTAAATGGCCCAGCCAAGCTACTCCAAAAAAGTATGAGGATCTGCTTGAATTAACATTGTTGATCCAATGTTTGTAAAAAGAAGACTTGATCAGCAATTAGTGGAGAAAGGGTTTGCAAAAAAATCTTTAAAAGACATGGATTATAATATTTAAGGTCATTTGGAGCATTTAACAACACATGTCTCTAGATCAAACTATGGTTACAGAAGGTCTCAATCTTTAAGTGATCTGTCACAATACTAGCTGGACTGGATTCTATTTTAGGAGCTCTAATCCATGCAGTAGAATGGCATTTGAAAATACTGTACTTTCTGAAACAGCCAGCTATGATTAGCGAACCAAAATGGGGATTCTGAAACCATATATAAAAATAATTACACACAAAGAGGAACCTTTTTAAACTGCAGTTAAAAAGGATTCAGAAAGTATAATAGCTATAATAAAGCTATAATTTAGCAGTGCATCACCAATAATAATAATCCTTGCATTTGATATAGCGCTTTTCACATCTTCTAGACTTCTCAAAGCGCTTTACAGAATATACTGTAAAGTGAATTGACTGTATATCCATGGGCGAAATGCGGCAGCCAATTGCGCACAGCAGTGTCCTGCAAACAGTCGTAGATTGAGTGACCAAATTATTATTGTTTTTTTTGAAGGATTATTATCCCAGGAAAAGCAATCCGCCAATTGACTAACTATCGGTTTCCTACTTACTGCTAGGTAAAGAGGCGTCTGGAGTAAGGAAATTTGCCCAACATTTCACCCTGCCGGGAATAGATGTATCAAACATTCAGAAAGCTAAGTAGTTGTTAAGGATGACAAGACAAGAGATCAAAAGAAAAAATAATCCTAAATGTGTTAGCGTCATGAGTTAAAATATATATTGTTACTATGCTGAGTTGCAACTTATTGGACAATTTTTCTCCTCCCATGCAGGATGCACTACCACTGTAGGGAAGTTCAGTATGAACAACTCTGATTTAGGGTACAAAAGTGGTAAACTGCTCTGCTTGTAAAACTAATCTTTCAAATTCATTTAACAGTATGTCCAGCAATACATGTTTTAACTCTTTGTCTTCTCATCTTATACTAGGACAAACTCCTTTCTGTTTTCAAATAGTGGATTGCATAATTAAGGTCCACCTGAACAGACCTTGGTTTAACATCTCATCCGAAGGTTGGCACCTCCAACAATGCAAAACATTCCCAGCAGTGCATTGGGGTCTAAGCAGTGCATCTAGCTTAGACCATTTGAGTTCAAGTCCTGACATGGGATTTGAACCCTCAACCTTTTGACTCAGAGGATGCTACCATCTGAGCCAAGCTGACTACCACTGAGACAAGCTATTTTTAAAATAAATGCATCTTATGCAACCTACAGATGTTTTTTCGGAAAATGTTTCATGCCACAAGGAATATTGGATAGCAGGTTACTTTGCAATGGAATTGATGGCCAATTCCTGCCAGCTGTTAGGGAGGAAGAGGAAGAGAAGAATTCCACTCTGAATATATAGACAGGTTTTCAACATTGGTCCTACTGAGAACTCAGGTTCATCACCACTGCATCAGCATAGACTTTCATCCATAGAGTTTCATCCTTCGCTTGGGTTGAACTTCTGGAGAGAAGCTATAATTTTAAGGCCAAATATATGTATGGTATTTGGGGTGTAGGGAGGGTGACCATACATTTCTGAGGACAGTCTCCGGATGAAATATTGTGTCTCTGGGGCCAAATTTGCCCTCTGTTGAGTGGAGCAACACATTGAGCAAGAACGATAACCTTTCAAAACAGATCCACTCATCAGAGAAATAAAGCCATTCCATCCAACAAGCTTCTCCAATACTGGCAGCATCAGGATTTGTGGTAAGTTCAATTCTTGTTATGTGTGTCATCAGATGTGGTTTACAAAATATGGTCAGCCTTGTATAAAGACCAGTAGATCTATGCCTTTAGTATTTTCCTTTCTATGGCATTGCAAAGTGAAACTCTGTGGGTTTGAAGCCAATGCTGATTATTGACGAGTTATGAGTTACATGAAGCAACAGCATTTCACAAAAGAAAAACATATTTTCCACGAGAGACATTTTTTCCCTAAATGAGCAACAGCTGAACAATTTAGGGCTAAAACTTTTCCACTGCTATTATTTGTTTTAAATTTATGTCTTACATGCATCGTTTTCCCAATGTTTTTAATTTAGCATATCGAATTCTCATAAGACGAACACAAAAATAGCTGTGTTTACCTTTCATTGACTCAGAATTATAATAGCCAACTTAATCTTAAACTTACAACATGGAGAAAAGTCAAATGAATACAACTAGTTGTTCTGTTGGAGCTGAGAAACTACATTCCACATACTGTTCATGAGGATGAGTGACAATTTATATTAAACTGCTTATTAACACTGCAGCTGAAGTGGAATACTAGGGCAGATGCTACATTAGACTTAATGTTTAGCAGTCCATCCATTGGATGGCATTAGCAACCTGGAAGTGGGGAATGCTTGGGTTCCAGTGTTGATTGTACAGTTATATTTGATACTGTAACCAAAGATTCAGCCCAAAATTAACAACACATGTGAGCTAGGGTTCAGAGAGTTAACTTTTAG